CTCCTTATATCTATCCTTTATGTACAAAGTTGCTTCTATGAAAGGTTGAACTCATGAATACATAGTAAACTCTCTAAAACTATAACTTTTATTACCCAATGAACAAGAAAAATGAAGTACAAGATAACTGAACTAGCTTCTGACAACATTCCACGATGTTGGGATACAGGGGTAGGTCAGGATTTCACGTCTTTGGAATGTCTTGAGTTTATATGGGTCGATCACGCTGATCAGCTGAAGTTTTCACATGTGTATACTATTTTCCTTTTGGTGTACTTGATCACGATATGAAGATTATTTCATTTTATTTGGTTCACCTATATTTACGCTACTATTCCCCGTCGTTCTTTCCCTCCAGAATGGCCGCTGGACGAGTGTTACGGAGCAAATATGACGTCACTGTAATGGGTTAATACGCTAGCTGAGGTATGACCGTACTCAGTGACATACTTGCTCATGAATCAATAATCCCGACAGGCCATGTTGACCTCTTTGACGGCTCAAGTAAACACTGATATCGGGACCCATTTTCTAACTGCCCTGGTTTTTAGCCCTCGGGTAAAGCGGGACAAGTTCTTCTGTCTAGCGTAACGGACTTTGCGCCAAGGGGTGTGTCATTCATCCATTTAAACATATGTCACGCTTCCCTTTGCACAAGCGTCGGCTGAAGCGTGTGGAGAGAAATCGCACAGTGATCACAACCTGATAGTTGAAGTAAGTGTAGATCTAGGTGACATTGTCACAGACGGTGTCACAGAGGCATTATATGCATGTTTTATGTTATAAATCTCTAATATTTCGGCATTTCTTTGTCGAGCGACTCTTCTAAGTTGCCAATGACAGTCATCGCAGTATTTAAGGTGAAGAACATATAGTCCACATTAGCTGATGATTAAAATGCATTGTTTTATATTCCGGGTGATCATAAAAGCTGGCGGGATTCTTCGCAGACATGTTGTAAATAGTGTACATTTAATACATGTGAAGCTCAGTATCGCAAATTGCTGAATGCCACATGGAACAGTTACAAGCACACACTCCTGTGATCATGACCTACATGTACCTTACTACAGTGAACACCTGTATCGTAGTCCCCTGCTTGTTTAATATTGCTTCACTAGTACTTTTGACCTCCAGCATTCAATTGGTAATGTGGACCTGAACCTACAAGAATTGTCTGATTAGACATGCACTATCTAGAGTATGAAACAGAAAACAATATATCCCCCCACCTGTCCCTAACGTTAACTTCCTAAAATAGTGTGACGGGGGCTTCTACGTGTGCTAAAAGTGCGTCACTGTAGAGTTATGAACAACTCTCTTTTCCCTCTAAAAGAAATTTTATTGTGCGCACACGGACTACATCAAGTTAAAGATGTGACCACAATGTCTCTCCCTCAATGTCTCCTTCCAACGGCTTGGGTACGCTGTTATTTTCCCGACTCGCCGAACACACCGAATGCGGCAGAATGCTGCATTTTTTTAACAAAATAAGGGCGACAGGTGGTTCACATCTCACGTCAAGGATGGACATTTTTGATTCAACATTTACTTAATTATTGGAAATACTGATTCTAGACCTTCGATTTAAATAGTGTGATTTGCCCGGTTCTTTGATTCTTAATATTTAATTTTGACCGAACCGGAACTGGTCATTTTCCTGAACTAGCGAAGTGCTTATTAAATACTAATGCATGACACCAAGAGACAATCAATTAAATCTTTCTATATCTATCTGCTGTTGCTCTGTCCTCTGCTTGCAATTTAATTGACGCGTTTGCCGACCACTAGAGGTCATTAATTACGGCACTCATTCGCTGGCCTGAGATCGGAAGGTTATTATGTTTGGTCAGTGCTTGAACGTCTAATGAGACTTATGTTGTTTTTGCAATCTTATTGTAACTAATGAATTTTAAATGTTTTTAAAATTTAAATGAAGTTCTTACTAAAATTTGTAACACTACCGTGTGTCTGACATTGAAAAATAAAGTGCTGATGCAGCTGTCATGTGTAACTGGAATAAGTACTGGTTGTTTTGGACATTGCTTGTGATAATTACCATTGCAAAGTTCCCAGTCTAAGTGTGAAATCAGCGAGTAATGTGCTTCATCTGCTGAGATGGCAAACAAAGGAGGTAAGGTAATTTTGGTTGCATGAGGTGAAGTAGCGTTAAGAGGTACAGGGTAAGTTTCTACTGAATAGACTGTGAGAGAATTTTGATAAGTTGTTATGGGAAATTTTAAGCGGATAAAAAGTGTGTTGTTGTGATAGGCAGCTACGAAATCCGGGTTTTTGTAGTAGAAATTTGGATTGCGATGTAACAAAATGGCATTTGGGTTTTGTTTGTTTGCTTTTGAATAAAATGTAAGGTGTTTTGGATGAGTGAGGGTGGTAAAAGTAAGGGACTTAATCTGTGTTGTGCAAGTTGAATGATACCATTCTGATAATTTCCACATGTGTCAGGAGTTGCATTGCTGCTTATAATTCACGTGTTTGTAGATTGTACATGCGTGAGTTGAGTTTGATGGAAGCTAAATTTTGAAAAACTTCAGAGGTCAAGATTCTTGTTTCATTGTATAGGGATTCAGATATTTGCATGGCATGATCTATTCTTGCGTTCATAACGGACAAGAGTGATTCATAGTTTTTGTTTGATTTCTTTAGCGATGATATGATTTTCCGTTGATTTTTCGCAATTTCTGATATATGAGATGACAATTTGCGAACGTCTTTGTCAGTAGCTGTTCCGAAAAGTTGTTTACTAATATCTGAAATGATCGGTAAAAGTGATCGTTTGGACCTGGATTGAGAGGAGATTTTGGCTATGTCAATATGCGACAGGAGAGGGTCAATGACTGTGAACATGTCTTGTAATGCTGACATTAGATCGCGACGTATTTTCCTAGCAGTTAACAAACCTCTATGATACATGGTACAAACATTACTTTTTGCGCATAGCTGGATATGGTGAGTCTTAACTGTAAGTCTAGGCACTACTAATTCATAAGTATGAGACCAATATTCTGTCATGGGTAGCACTTTACCAATAGGAGTGAAAATCGTTCCATAGTTGACTCTATGAACTGCGTCCGATTCGTGCTGAAGGCTGTAAGTCGATGCGGTTATCATCATGAAGAATAGTAACGTGCAGAGTGCGGCTTTAAATGATGTCATACGGTTGTCTGTGAACTTCGGTGCATACAATAAGGATGCAGCGGTTTGTGTTTCACTCACATCACAGCCGTTGCACGGAGGGATGTCTCCTCTTCCTCTGTTGTTCAGCTGGTTTCCCGTGGGTCTGGGTCGAATGACAGGATTACTGCGTGCTGGAGTGTTCCGTTGAAATCTGGGCTGCACATTGCGCATGTCGTAGTTGGGTCGAAGTGGACGATGTTGCCATCGCTGTTGGTTTCTGCCGTATTCGTAGCGAGGGTTGGGCGATGTTTCGGGTTGAAAATCGGCGGCCATAGGGTTTCTACCTGGGGGTTGTATCGGAGTGATTGGTGCTGGGTTTGCAGCGGATACGGCCAGTTGTGAGATCTGCGTTTTGATTTCGGAGAGTTGTGTATTCAGCGCATTGATAGATGCAGACGACGTAGTGGGTTGTACTGCAGTTTCTGACTGTCTGGCGCGCGCAATGAGATCCTCGAAATTGTGAGGTTCGTGCTGAGCCACGAATGGTCGTATTTCGTGTAGTAGGCCATGTAAAACAGCCTGTATGGTTTGTTCTTCAGGTAATTTAACTCTCGCGGCTTCGCGTCTCATTTCCGCTATGTAATCTTGGACTGGTCGAGCCTGTTTTTGGCGGCGTTGGAATAAACTGGACACAGTGGCCCATTTAGAACTTTCAGTTGGTTGAAATCGTGCCCGAAATGCATTTTCTATAGCGTTAATGTTTTGACGCTGATCGTCAGCAAGTGTATCAAACCAGTCAAAGGCTGCGCCTCGCAGTAACAATGGAAAAGAGGCTATGTGTTGTCCTTCCGTCATAGCGCGGTATGACGCATAATTTTTGAAGTGCGATAGCCATCTATCTGGATCTTCTATCGCGCTACCCGTGAATTTTTCAGGTAAAAGACTTGTTTCTGCTGACATTGCATAAACTGGGGCATGCAGTGGGGTTGACGGTGGCGTAGAGGTGGAAATGTCAGAATTTAGCGACTGAGAATCAGAAATAGCGTCTAACGGTTGCGGCGGCGCAAGTGATTCAGTGGATTCGTTAATTTGAGATAGAGCAGGTGAGGATGAACGTGACGATATAGGTGACGTTTCGCCGGAGAGGGGAGATGTAGGTTCTTTTACAGTTTTAGAGTGCGTCTCACCTGTTTTCTTGTTCCTGGTGTTCGCAGATGGCGCTGACCAATAATTTTCGGGTCGGGCTGACATACGTGGGGCGTTGCTTGGCGTGCGCGTAGCTGGATCGAGCTGATTCCTCCACCAAACTGTGACGGGGGCTTCTACGTGTGCTAAAAGCGCGTCACTGTAGAGTTATGAACAACTCTCTTTTCCCTCTAAAAGAAATTTTATTGTGCGCACACGGACTACATCAAGTTAAAGATGTGACCACAATGTCTCTCCCTCAATGTCTCCTTCCAACGGCTTGGGTACGCTGTTATTTTCCCGACTCGCCGAACACACCGAATGCGGCAGAATGCTGCATTTTTTTAACAAAATAAGGGCGACAGATGGTTCACATCTCACGTCAAGGATGGACATTTTTGATTCAACATTTACTTAATTATTGGAAATACTGATTCTAGACCTTCGATTTAAATAGTGTGATTTGCCCGGTTCTTTGATTCTTAATATTTAATTTTGACCAAACCGGAACTGGTCATTTTCCTGAACTAGCGAAGTGCTTATTAAATACTAATACATGACACCAAGAGACAATCAATTAAATCTTTCTATATCTATCTGCTGTTGCTCTGTCCTCTGCTTGCAATTTAATTGACGCGTTTGCCGACCACTAGAGGTCATTAATTACGGCACTCATTCGCTGGCCTGAGATCGGAAGGTTATTATGTTTGGTCAGTGCTTGAACGTCTAATGAGACTTATGTTGTTTTTGCAATCTTATTGTAACTAATGAATTTTAAATGTTTTTAAAATTTAAATGAAGTTCTTACTAAAATTTGTAACACTACCGTGTTATAATAGACAAAATCCTATGGGGAACTATTGAACATATGCCCTATAGGAATTCTATAGGACGCCAGTTAAAAATCAATATATAGAGTCAGACAGATGCGTCAGTGGGTTTATGTCCGTCTTTTCTGTCTTTTTCGAAATGGAGTTAAATCGAGTGTCACTTCTGGGGAGTTGAATGGATTGTTCCAAACATAACATTTTGGTTGATGTAGAAATCTCGTGACGGAAGAGGACTTTAAGATAATTAGCTCTCTTTTATGCACGGCAATCGCCTCACATAAAACGGTGCAAAATTCTGACCTGTTTAATCCCTATAAACTTTATTTACCCTCCACCAGGGCCGAGGAGTAATTATATGCACTTTTCTCTAACGCGACACATAGTAAAGAAATGTGCCAGGAATTAACTTTAGAAAGGACTGTGAATATCAAGTGAAAAATAAATCTCAAGAAAATATATAAAAAAAGTGTGTGTTTTTTTTTCTTTCTCTGTTATGATATTTACCGTTGATGCTTTTTGCTTTATTAAGGTAGTGTACTCTTTTTCAGCACACCCGACAGAACAAGCATGGAGAAGATTAATCAGGCCCATCTTAACAAGAGAAGCTACTACCACATTCCTCAAATTACGTCATACGCTTACGTCACCTTGCACGAGGCGTTCGACATCACAGCACAACTATATCCCACCAAAAATGCCGCCGTTTTTTACCAGACCCGAGAGCAGCGAGAGAGTATGACATTTTCTGAACTAAAGAAACAGTCCATCTCATTGGCCGAGTCACTCCGTCGCCGTGGTTACTCACGTGGCGACCGCGTGGCATTTAGCTCGCCGAACTGCATTGAGTTTTTCCCGCTCACTTTGGCTTTGTCTCGTCTAGGATGCAACATGTTCATGTTGAGCAATTTGAACAACCTTTGCGATGACGTGCTGGAATACAAATGCCGCGCTTTAATGTTGTACGTGGGAAATGATAAGGAGAGGGAAATATACAGAGAAATCGCCTCCAGGGTACCTCAAGGGACCAACCCATTGAGCGACATCGTCGTTTTTGGACCTTACGGCGACGATGTTCTTGGGACTGGTGCTTCGCTAAACAATCTAATCAAGGGAGAAGAAAATGTCACCCCGATAGATGGAGCAGCGGAACAAGTCGACCCAGACGACCCTATGTGCGTCTTCTTCACGTCTGGTTCCACTGGGAAGCCGAAAGGCATTCAGTTGACCCACAATGCCTACATCAACTGGGCCCGAATGGACGTGGCGTCTTTCGCAGGCGCTGACAGCGTCTTATTTAACGACCGCCCGATGACCTGGTTAGGTGGACACGGACTGATTATGGAAATGGCCGTCTGCGGGACAACCGCTCTCACTGTCAGCTCCAGTCTCGTTGTCGCGGAAGGAGAGGTGGACTTCGTCTTCACCATCTTGAAAAGAGAGAGTGTCACCAACACCGTTATGATGCACTATTTCATCGTGGACCTTTTAAACTACAGTGATGCCGTTTCGTTCTGTCAGGTACCCAGTCTTCGCTATATCGTAACGGGCGGGCAGGTGATGGACAGAGATCAGCTTAAGAAGCTCCTGACCCTCTTCCCTAACATCAAACAGATCACAGTCGGGTATGGATCCACCGATGCCGGACCGATCGCCCTGCAGGACGTGACGTATGACACCAGAAGTGACAAAATGCAGGTGATAGATGGCGTTGAAGTGAAAGTCGTTGAGCCGGACACCAATCGCGATGTACCTCCTGGGTCCGCGGGTGAAATTTGCGTCCGTAACCCCATGATTTACCGCTGCCTTTACATGGACAACGAGGCGGCTTCCCAGGCAGCGTTTGACGAGGCGGGCTGGTTCCATACCGGTGACATCGGCACCATGACCACCGACGGTCAACTCTCTGTCTCGGGCCGCAAGGACGATATGATTAAACGGGCGACTGTCAAGGTCTTCCCAGCCGAAGTAGAGGCCGTCATCGCTCAAAACCCAGCCGTTAAAGACGTCATCGTGGTAGGTGTACCAGATATCCGGTTACGAGAGGAGCTCTGCGCATGCGTTATCATGGAGAGCAGCGGGGATGTAGAGGGACTGGAGAGTTGGTGCAAGAAAAAGTTTTCTGTGGGGCCGGATGGCTTGTCACTGGCGCCGAAGTATTATCTTCAGTTCGAAGAATTCCCTTTAACAGGCACCGGAAAGACGCAACGAAAGTCTATAAGAGAAAAAGCTTTAGAGAAACTGAAATTATGAGAAGTTACTCTGTACATGTAGAATAATTGACTAAAAGCATCTAATTAGGGGGGAAATTTTGATGAGTTATAATTGTTTGGAAAAAGAAATAGTTAATGACAAAGGACACATTTCAGGGAAAAAAAACATAGGTACTGTACGAGAAAAAGAAAAAAGAAATGTGTGATGAAGACAAATGGTCTTTAATTATATTGGATAGTTTCGCTATAGTGTATTTGCAAATTCAGTAGAATTATGGAGATACTAAAGCATGAAATGCTACAGCATGTAAAAAATAAATATTTTTACCAGCCAGTATTTCATCTGCATTCAGCTATTGGCAAGATATATAATCAATTTAAAAAAAGAAATGGCAAAATATTGGGTGTTTAGGTATTATTGTTTCGCAGAAACTTAGAGTCCGAAATATTTCCTTTATTTTCTTAGATCTGGTCCGTCTTTTCCATCTGCTCGACCGTGCCTTATTACAGCTATTACTGTTGACTAGTAAGCGCCATCTACTTGGACATCAGGGCCAGTGGTGAATGAACGCGTTTTTTTTTCTGCAGAGAAAAGAATTAGTAGCTGCTGCATCCCGCAGTCCATTCTTTGTGCGTCTCGTGGAAGTCGATATGGTTCCGCGCGAGGCAGGGTTGATTTTTTAGCATTAAGGATCTACCGGTATGAAGCTCAATGCACCGTTAATGTTTTAAAATACATAAGTTACATGCACCTTTGAGTAAAAAGAAACATGCGTTTCAAATTTTACTTTTTATCCTGTTTTGGTAAACACAAGCCGTAAAATCTCCATAGATAAATTAATACCGTCAGCTTTTGTTTGTTGCAGTGCAACGCATTTTAAATTCTAGTCTGCCATTATTTTCTCTCCACTCCCTTCCAAATCTCGCAAAGTATCGTTTCATTCCTCGTTAAGTCACGATGTTTTCGATCGTCTGTCTCGGATCAGGGCCTATGTTAAAGCACTGCATGCGGGCTTCCATGTGTTACAGCATGGCGCGACCTCAACCAAAACTAGATGCAAATCACACCAAGGGAAGGTTCAACTCATGCGTGGCAGTAGTCACCGGGGGAGCCTCGGGTATAAACAGGGCGTGTGTCAGTCGTTTCCTCAATGACGGTGCGTCCGTTGCCTTCCTCGACATCGACCAAGATTCGGGGAAACAGTTGGAGTCTGAGCTTAAGGGGGAGGGGTTAGACGCCGCATATTACCACGTCGATGTGTCTAACAGGGACGCGTGTTCCAAGGCCGCGGTAGACATAGCAGACAAACATGGTGGCAGCATTAACTATGTGATAAACGGCGCTGCGTGTTTTATCTTCAAGGGTGAGTAATCTCGTGCAACACAACTCTTACGGTGCATAGGGCCTTGCAAACAATATAATAGACCTACAACAGTAGTTGTATGTAGGTCAACCCAAATGTGCCCTAAGTGTCAGGGCACTATATAAAGCTAGCTTGCTCGCTATAACTTTTCACGTGGTAGCTTTACAGTATTGCTGATATGGGATATATATGAAATCAAGATCGAGCTGACAATACTGAAATCTAGAACCTAGGGTAGCAAATGTAAAAAAAAAAGTTGCACAAACTTCCTGCACGTTCGCCTGCACTGAAAACAGTGACTGTGATTTAGATATTTAGATAACATTTTTCCAGGTATGGACGCATCCACGTCAGACTGGGAGAAGACGCTGAACGTGAACGTGGTTGGATATGCAAACATGGTACAGGCATGTCACCCCTACATGAAGAAAGGTACATAGAGAGCTTGGGACACACTGTCTGGACTTATGTAGTGTGTTTCAACTAGCGCAACAGTCTAGCAGTCTCAACTAGCACAATAAACTGCATACCTTCGCCTTATATGCCCCTCTCATGTGAAATTCGTTTACCAAAAATTTACTGTCAAGATAAAGACTTAATCTATATATAAAAAAAAAAAACGCCTTGATATTGACCCTAATTATTGTGTCCTCACAGTTGTATACATAAAGTCATACCATTTCCAAATATATTTTAATTTATCATCATTTTCATCAGCCGAGCCGGGCTGCCGCGCTGTCGTTAATATTGCCAGCATCACGGGACACGTACCAAAACGAAATCGCTGGACATACGACGCCAGTAAAGGAGCTGTCTTGCAACTGACCAGGTGTATGGCTCTTGATCTGGCCAAAAACGGGATAAGGGTCAACTCGGTGTCCCCGGCAGTAATAAATACACCTTCGGTGGGTACTCTAGGTAGTAGGCCTATACTGAGTACATATATATTTGTATGCTCATATAGATTTGTGTTTCCGCCTATGAAAATAACAGCTTGTAATGTAAACATACTTTTTCATACCACATATGTCATCGTGGAAAATATAAATTAATTATTTTAATACTGATGGAATTGATTGCAAGAATGATTATAATGTGTAAATTATG